AACCTGTTTACACACTTCAAAAAACATCACTGTCTAAGGCAGTGGTTCACAAAATGTAAAATTAAAATGGAGCATTAAATGCACAAAAAGACATGAATTAAATAACATTTACTACATTAATTACATCAGATGCCCTGATTAACATACAAGTGGCTCAGACTGACTGCAAGAATAATATTTTTTATGACTTAAAAATGAACAGTTTCTTGGGTGGAGTTAAGTTATGCTAAGATTGTGCCAAGTAACCCAACAAGGCTCTTGGAAACCAAACATCCCTTCTTAGAGAAAATGTGCCTACTGCACAGATTCCTAACCAGAGGCAGCAGCAAAGTCTGATTGTGTGTGAAAGCAGCCAATAAAAAGAATAGTGACAGGTGCCTGTCCTATCTGTCATAGGGTGAGAGGGCGGGGTGCATCTTGGACAGCTTGCCAGGCCATTGCACGGCCAAATGTCAGTGTGCGTTTGCTAATCTATAAAATTCCAGCTGTCTGATATATATTTATAGCAGATATTAGTTATAAACAGAAGAAGCAACCCAAGGAAAGCCTGGTGGACCATAACTCACCCATATCATCAACAGTGCCAAGCAGATACGTGGTCTTAGACATACTGGTCATCTGGATAGATGTCATTTCCAGCCTGTCCTGCAGCCACCCTGCAACACGATTTAGAGATGACGCACACCACACAGACAAGCCCCCGGAGTGGCCCAGACAGAGATACCTGCCGTCGTCTGAGCAAACCAGGCAGTTGGTGTTTCCTGGGAGCTGACAAATGAGGGAAATAAGTCTTTATAGAAGCAAGTCTCACCACTAAACACCTTATATCGGCCGCTATTTTGAAACAATAACTTCATGAATTTCATTAATCACAAGTATGTGAAATTGCACGTATAGAATCACCAGTGAAATGAAATCTCAGAACAAATGCTCAAAAATACTTACTCACACCTGTAAGTTGTATTTCTACAATCTTCCCACAGGTTTCAATTCATAATTCTTCAAATAACACATTTCTAAATTAGAATGAGTATGAAAACATCTACATTTTGTTTAACGAAACTGTTATTTTTATTTGACAAACTTTGTTTTCTTCATTGTAAAAAATGGAATAGCTCTGTTTGCTGGTTCAGAGTTGACTGGATATATTTCATACTGGTCTACACAAAAATCAAGTTCTCACTTTGGCCATGTGCCAACAGATGCCATGATGCTACATGGATATAAAAATGTGAGAAAACATCCGATTATAAGCTTTAAAAATGTCTTATTGACAATTTTCACAAAGTAAATCATGTTCTATTATTGGTTTGTTAAATACATATTTCTTTGGTTTAGGAATCAAATGCATGGTGTCCAAATGAGTAGACATGTTTGCAACTCCCTGAAAAATGGGTTCATAAACAAAATTTCAATTGCATTTTGGGGTTGTTTTTCTTTTTGTGCTTAATAAAAATCTAAGGAAAAAATCGTGACTGAGGCTCTCATAATTAACGCATGAGAGAGTTAAACTTAAAACTTTATATGTCAAGATCTTTGTACCTGCATCATACCAGTAAGTTCCAAAGTAGGTGTCTCAACCCTGGATGTCTTCGCTTTATGGGCTGATTCCATTTCTTATGTTTTCTTTGTGCATACAAAGAAATCAAATGAAAAAAACAAAAACATACAAAGAATTTTGGCATTACCACAAAGAAACATCACTGTAATCAAAACAAAATTGTAAACATTTTTGACAACTACAGTTATCAAATGACCAGAAATAAAACTGTATAGTGGACCACTAGTGGGCTCCACTCACACCCAGTGTATGGGAAGAGGTTGCTGCTTGAGGTTTCAGTTGTTTTGTGATGAAGAATAAACCTGGAGAGAGAATCGAGAGCTCTCATGTCGTCTTTGTTTACCTCCACAACAGAAATTTATTTTTTTTAGAAAGAAATAGATGTCTGTGAAATAAGACAACACAGACTCACTGCTTTAACTATATATAGATTTTACTCATCTGCCCCTTTATTAGCTAGAAAAAGCCCTGAAGTTAATTCAATATAAAGTATTCCAAAAACTGATACTATTTATATGCTGCTGAAAATATTTATTGGAAATAAATAAAATAACAAAATGAATCAGATTAGCCCTTTTTGTAACACTTGATGTCGTTCACTAAATACTTTAGAGCATAGAGTTTACAACTTTACACACAGACTGATTCATACGGCCTAGATGTGGCTAAAAAAGAGTTCAGTGAGGTCACTGGTTAGCAGTGTTGGGCAAGTTACTTTGAAAAAGTAATTAATTATAGTTACTAGTTACTTCTTCAAAAAAGTAACTGAGTTAGTAACTGAGTTACAATATTCTAAAAGTAATTAATTACTTGAAAAGTAACTATTGCGTTACTTAAAGAAAAGAAAAAAAGTTTAACCCTCTGGGGTCCAGGGTGTAACTGGCCATTTTTTAAAAAACTACTTTTGATGTTTCCTCTACATTTTACCTTTAAAAACTATTTACCTTGCCTTGTTTGGTATCATCCTTTTCAGCACAACCTCACGTGTCTGAATTTACAGTTATGTTTTCATTTTGACATACTGTATTAACACAATTGATCTAAAATCACACAAAAAACATAACATCAGAGTAGAAAAAGTTATATTTTTTTACTGTAACAACCACAAACATGTTTAATGAATCATATTTCATAACTTTAAATGCAAATATAAATGGTCAATTTTAAAATCCTATGCACAAGTTTTGCAAACAACAAAGTTATTTGCATCCATTTACCTTTTACCTTGATTTTCCAAATAACCATTTCAAACTATTTACAGAACAATCAGCTGTTCTTTATTCAATAAGATGCCACACAAAAATATTTTCTGTCCACCATAAAGGAGAACATCACAGCCTAAAACCTGCAGGTCTGACAGCAGCAGGTGTATCACTCCTTTTTCTATCTGGAGACAGCAGTCACCTCATTGTTCTGACACACAACACAAAACTATCCACAACACTACACTCCCATCGCTGCTGGTTAGCCTGGAGGCTAACAATGAGCTGAGACCACAGATAAAAAAAAAATCGTCATATAAAGCTGTTTAACTCAGGACAAAAAAGGGGCAGCTTGTAAAACAACTATTAGATCACAAATAAAAGTATTTTAGTGTAAGTGTAATTTCAGACCAGAGTGGAAAAGCACTGAAAATGGATATGTTGGTCTTACCTTAGCCTTGTGAACTCTGAACGGCCTTGATGTTTCACGGTCGCTATGACAACCGACTGGCTCCACCCCGACCGCGGTTTAAAGCTGCTTTGTGTCAGGAGGAGCTACACACCGGCGGGGATGCTACAGAAGGACGGTCACAGTGAGATCTGCAGCCCTGCGATCTAATCTATGTCTGAAGAAAGTGCATGTTCTACTCTTGTGATAAATGACTGATAAAATATTATTCTTATGTGCACTTTATGTAAAGCAGAAAGTATTTTTTTTATTTTTATTTTTAAGGTACTTAATTTATAGACATTGCCCTGCTTTAGTATGCCATTTATAAATATAGATATATTATTATGACTATGATTACGATTGTAGCTGTGATAGCTCTGCATGATGTAACAGTAACGAATGGCTAGACATACCTGCATTTATAAATGACATACTGAGGAGGACTCTCTCTTTCTCATTTATCTTTGAATGTTATTCCATGTGGTTTAAGGGTTTCTGTTTCTCAAAATCATACTTTTCTTATAGCATATGCATATTTATCTGTTCCCCCTCTCCTGTTAGACGAGTGGACCAATCTTTGCCTACTGCAAGTGCCAACATCTGCATGATGTATAGAAAGATTTTACACACATTAAAGACACATTTTTTTGCACTAAGCAGCAACCTCTGCAGCTAAAAATTCAAACCAATTATAATACCAACGAGTGCAGTTTCTCTGGTGGTCGCTCCCAATTTTATTTATATAACACAAAATCACAGCAGCAGTCATCAACAGTATTTCTTTTGTGCTATCATTTTAATAGAACTCTTCAAGCATGTCAGCCTTGCAACTACTTAACCCGCTCAACCCAGCACACATGAATAAGCAGCCAAAACTTAACTGAACCGGTCTGTGTTTTTCATTGCAAGTTGGAGAATGATACTGGGATGAGGTCAACATAGAGACAAGCTGATGGTCTTCTGTTGTTCTCCTTTTATAACATGGTAGTTAACAGTACATAAAATAGTGTTTTGTGCCTCAAGTCTCGCCTTGCAACTCTGTGAATGTTTTCAGATCTCATCCATCTGGATACCAGAGTTAGTCTGTATCTTTGCAGTAAGTAGCAGATGTGTGTATTCAGGCACTGCATCTGTACAGTTTATCAATGCAGCTTGCTAACCACAGTTACTAGTGTTAGCTGATGACTTAACCTACATTCTCAAATATGGTAACTTCCAGCTAAACAGGCAAAAATGCAGCAATTATAATAAAATGAATGTGGCTTTCAAAACGCATGCTATAACCATCTTTATTATACAGTTTACAATTATCCTCCAAGTATACCAAAACACAAAATTAATAGGACTGTTTCATGCATGTGAAGCATTATAATGATATGAAATTGCACTGATTTTATAGCCAGCCACAGCTGGCCTTCGCTTTAACAATTAAGGAAACAAAACATATTATTATTCAGGATCTAAAAGCTTGAATTTTAAAGATCTTGATTTAGCCCATTCTTTACATTTGACACTTTATTTTAAGTTTTAAAGTTTGCAGTTCTTACACTTTTGATAAAGGAAAACTCTCTTGCTGCAGGATAATCATCTGCAAATGGATTTTTATCACAAACTGACAACATTGTTGTTTAGCCCTTTATAAAACAGATAATAAAAATGTCTTATACAATAATTTCTTGGCTTCTACTTATACCTGTATATGAGGGTGCCTGTGTGCATAAAGAAAACATGATTGCTGTGTGCACAAAAAAAAATAAGAGCGATATACAAAGAAAAATGTCTGTGGTTATAGATCTCTTTGATGGTTTTATTTGTTTGAAATTTGCACAATAGAAGAAGAGAAAGTACACAACTGTAAAATGCAGTTCATAATGCATACGCTCCTCTCTGGGTCTTCATCGTTGGTGATACTTTTATCCTGCTCAATCGCCCAAATATAATCATACCCTCTTAATCACAACAATCCAAATATAATTATGGTTTTCCATCAATAATCTGACACATCAATTCCTTTCTTTCTATAAATCTTTTCATAATTACCACTTGTTCGTCAATTGTTACTTTTAAGATTGGGCTTTTTGTGCTTGAAATATGGCCGAAATCACTAAAAGGCAAATTTTCAAATCAAACTACTCTGTGTGCTCAGAAAGTAAAACAGGGTGTCAACAGGAATATTGGCAGCATTAGAAATATATAAGTGTTATTCTTAATGGCCAATGCCTGCACATTTACCTCAGTGATGAATAAAGCAAAAATGTACCAGAAGGATTACAAATGCAACAAATGAGTAAGCAATGTCATCACAGGAAACAGAGAACGTTAAATTACATTAAGAATACAGAAAGCCACTGTTGGCAATCATTTAAACAGTTTTAAACAGCAAACAGTGGCAATAAGGCAGATAACAGATGAGTGTGTATGGATAATGACCATCTTGATATTGGCAGTTTGAAGACTATACAAGTATCCTTAAGGCTTCTATGTCAATGACTGTGTAATGACATTCAATACAAAAGCTGCAGCCACAATGGACAAATACACTCTGAATAGGCACTGATTAAAAGTTGAGAATCAGCTCTCCAAGCGTAAAATACCTAAATACTACAACATATAGTAAGTTAGCAAATGCACACATTTTACCAATATAGTGGCAGCTTCTTGAAACCAGTCACTGTACACTATAAAACATCCTCAGTTAACTACTTTTATTTTCTAATAAGCCAAAAAAAAGCAACACAATATGAACATCAACCCTCATAAAGGTGAACTTTTCTCATAAGTAAAATGACTTTGTGGGGTTAATTATCCAGTTTACACAGGAATACTTCTTTAATGACGGCATTTATGTTCATCGTACCTACGCGGACACTTTATTAGGTATATCTGGCTAGCATGGGCTGGACCCTGTTTGCCTTCGGAACAGCACATATTTAACAAGGTGCTGAAAACATTCCTCAGAGATTTTGGTCCATATTGACATGATAGCTTCACACAGCTGCTGCAGATTTGTCACCTGCACATCCATGATGTGGATTTCTTAATCCACTGTATCTCAAAGGTGCTCTATTCAATTGTAATGTAGTGGCTGTGGAGCTCATTTGAATATAGTGAACTTGTTGTCGTGTTGAAAAACCAGTTTGAGATGATTTGAACGTCGTGACAGGTCACCTTATCCTAATGGTCATTTATCATTATTTAAACGATGCTCGTGTGGTAAGGGGCCAAAGTGTGCCGAGAAAATACCAAATTCTGTCCCCACTATCTGAGTGTAACAGCTGAAATGAAGACTCCTCAGACTGAGTAACATTTTTTCAGTCTTTTTCCCCCAATTTTGGTGAGTGTGCCGAAACTGTAGCATGTTCTTAGTTGACAGGAGTGCCAACCAGTATGGCATTCTGCTGCAATGTTCAAACTGCATATCTCAGTTTTAAGAAGTGGTTACTGTTGCCTTCCTGTCAGCCTGAATCAGTCTGGTTATTCTCCTGTGACATCAAAGCATTTTTGCCCAGAGAACAGCCGCTCACTGGATATTTTCTCTTTTTTTGGACCATTGTCTGTAAACCATGGAGTTGGCGGTGTGGGAAAAATCCCAGCAGGTCAGCAGTTTCTGAAATGCACAGACCAGCTGGGATTCTAGCACAAACAACCACACCAACTTCAAAGGCACTTAATCACCTTTCTTCCCCATTCTGATGCTTGGTTTGAACTTCAGCAGGTCGTCTTGCCTACATGCCTAAATGCATTGAGTTGCTGCCACATGATTGGCTGATTTGGTCTTTAAAAATGAGTTGAACAAGTGTGCCTACGAAAATGAATGCAAACTGTTCTGTTCATTTAACCGTTTTCATCTAACTGAGCTGCTTTCATTGCATCAAGGCTTCTGCTGCAGTAAACCTAGTTGCTTTGTCTCTATGAGCCATGGCTCACTACAAAACACCACGATGTAGTACTTAGAAGTGGAAAATTACAATAAATCAAACCCCATGATGTTGAAAACCTTGCACAGATTTCCAGGATCATAACTGACCCCACACAACTTTCCAATATCCTTGCCACATCAATGTGCCAATTCATGAAAAAAATAAAGTAGTTTTTGCCATTGTGATATAAAAATGTTCACAGCAGCACTGAAGTTTAAAGTAACAGGTTTGCTATGTGCCTCATTCTTTTTTTAAATCTATTTTTATAGTGTACAAGTGAATGGTTTCAAACATAGCCGGAGAGTTAGGTGACGTGTCTATTCACTGCTACCAAGACCTTCTGTAGCTATATCAATCTTTTAATATTGAGAGTCCTTTGGGGCTGCAGAGACAAAACACACAGTAAGTTATGATACTTTCATCTACAACTTTTCCCTCTCTTGCTTGGATACAAACACTTAGATCTACCAAGACCGGCTACCACGATCCGTGGAGACCAGCGACACAGGAATGAAGAAAATCCTTTCAAAATAAATACATCAGTAGTTCTATGTAAAAAGAGACAAAGACACTTCTTTCCAGTAGGTTTAAATACTTTAAACTAGACTTGCTGCTTGCTTATTAATGACGTCTGAGCATTTTGGTCAGTTTAGCAAAAGAAAGGGAGTGTACTTAATAAATACTTTATAAATACGGCACATATCGACTTATTGCAGTAAGTTTCATGTGAACCTGAAGCTCTTAACATGTTCAACCAGGTAATTGAGAACAAGTTTTTGCTCGTTGGATTCAGCAGCTTTCAAAATGAGCCCGAATCAATTTAGTGTGTGAAATGTGAAGATCGCATACTTCATAAAAAGTAAGAAACCAGCTGACTCCAGCTAAACAGCAGGAACCTCTTACTGGCTGCATCGCAAAATGTCATTATCTTACATGACTTTTTGTTTTGCCACAGATTGACAATTATTCCACTTATTTCCAGTACAGAACAAATGTAATGCAGAACTCTAAAACATCCCTTCCTCCAAGATAAATGCCTGACACACTGCAGGTGGAAAAAGAGGGGGGAAAAAATCTCACTCACTTTGCACAATAAGACATAAAGGATAAATCTGAAAAAAGTATTTAAATCATTTCATTTTCTTTTTCTTTGCAGTGCACAGCTTCTGTCATTAATCGCAAATTAGGGTGCTTTGATAAGAACCTGAACAGTAGTGTCTCTTTTATGCTGCTTATTTAAATCTTTAAATGTTTAAAAAAAAAGAGAGTGAAAAACATTTGACTGAGCAAGTCTCAAAAACAAAGGGAATAAGTTAAAGTCACTTCTACCTTTGATATATTTCAATTCAAATGTCTGACACAGAGTCTGGCTGACAGAAGGTTTTAGGAAATGTATCCATCTTGGCAAAGTGAGGTTCACAGTCCTCATTAGTGCCAAGACTCTCTCTTTGCCTCTCCCTCTGACTTCTTAAATCCATGAGATATCTTTAAAGAAGTCATAACTACACAACTAAAAGACCGCAATAGAAATCTGCTATATATTTAATATCACCAACGCTCAGGGCATCATTTGTGGTCTGCAATAACGTCTGCCTTTTTCATATAAAACCTTTTCACCATATAAAAACTCTTTGTTTGACACTCTGTTTGTGTATGCATATATGAAAATCTGCTACGAGGAAGCTTTAGAGACGTCATAGTCCATGATGAGCTGCTTGATATAGGAAAGTTTTTCGTGGAGATACTCGCAGCGTTTCTTTTCTTCCCGGTAACCGGGAAACTTCTGTGGAGACAACAAAAAAAAAAGTGTATTATTAAAAGAGTTTTACATGGTTTTCCTCTATGTTCACGCCTACATAACTTACATAGTAGACAGGTGGAAATCCTAAATAGAGCAACTGCAAAAAATCTTGTTAAACTAGTGCCAGCCTACACCATACAATCCACATTCTCTCAAATAAATAAAAAATAAACAATAAATAAAACAATTTCTTTCTCAACCACTAACATATTGAGGTTCAATCTTAACGATTGTCTTTGTTTAGTTTAGGTTAACTACTCGCTGTTTAATAAAACAAGCTTTCACAGAATTTAATTGCTTAAAAAAATCAAGCTATTTAAGCGTTGAAATGTACATTTAAGACTATAAGAGCACAAAAAAAGAGGAGCAATAGATGATAAATCTGAAATAAATCTCAAATATGTGAACTACAAGAAAAACAACTTCAATGTGTCTGCCTTACCTTGCGATACTTGTTGTACTTTTCTAGTATTTGGTCTTCCATTGTCTAAATGGTACAAAACACAAAGTTGTTCATATTAGTTTCCACATAGAGAATAACAGTCCAAACTGAGCACTTGCATATCTGCATATATCATGTACCTTATATTCTTGAGTACCAGGGGACAGGCTCTTGATTTTAGAGCCCAGCTGAACAAACATGTGAGTTATGGTGGCAATCCGGGAATGGAGGTCTTTGTACTCATCGTACTCGGCGCAGAAATCCTCCTGGTACTGCTCACGTTGCTCTAAACTTGCTATGGGGCTGTATTTTCTATAAGTAGACACAGAAACATAGTGTGTGATAATGTAAGGACCACCACAGAAGATAGAAATAATCTTATGCAACATTGAGCCTTCAAGAGACACTCTTCCATATGAATTCTTTCCTAGAGATACAATCACAATATTTTTTATGCAAATTTCTAAACTGCCTATTTCCCTAATTTCGTTTACTTCTTGTGTAGTACCTCTTTCTGCCACGAGATGGTAGCACAAGCCTACAATATCACCCTACACAGTTTGTTCTTGAATCCTTGTCATCTACTTCATTTAAACAAATGCAAAAGATTCTAGCAGGTCATGGAAAAATAACTTAAAAACATGTTCAGACTTACAGCACATAATCTGGCTTCTCCTCAGAAACCACAGTATTTGTTATGTCAGGATCTGGAGCAAGAACGTAAGAAAAAGACAATATCATTAGCTGCAGTCGAATCAGTACAGTCATCCATGTGGATCTTTGCCATTGTCTGAATATTAAGCAATGTGTTTTTTGTTTTGCTAAAAGCCACAGTGTGTCTGTGTGTGTGTTTGTGTGTGTGTGTGTGTTCATCTCTGCCTCTGTTCAGACTAGCTAAGAGCCTGTGGGTGTCAGGAGACCTCTAGGCTTAGAGACCCAAGCTGTTGTCGAGTCAGTCAGCCACATAACACACTGAGGACTCAAGAGGGAGAGCTTCAGGAAGCACATACAGTCATGAGATAATACTGTGCTGATACAGCACTGGGTTGCAAGGAGGACTTCACATGCACTCACCTGCCCATTTATTAGGTATACCTGTTTAACTTTTTGCTAATACGACTATCTAGTTGGATTTAAATGGACAAAACAGCGCCAGTGCCAAAATAAACGGGAAGTAGTTTAATTTAACACGAGAGGCAGCAATGATGAAGGGGCATTTAAATCCAGCTGACAGGAATTTGGGGGAATGTTGGATGAAAAAGCAAAACTACAATCACGGACTTAATGATCTGAAAAACATTACAAGATGTTTTTTAGTTGTTGTTTTTTTTTTAAATACACAGGGAGGAAAAGGCCTTACTGTCAAGTTTGTCTGGATTCTTCTCGAGCTCATTATTTGTCTTTAACCAGTCAGTCCTATGGTCGTCTTTCAATTTCTCGCGCTCCTTGTCCTTGTGCTTTTTCGATTTCTTCTTTCTGTGTTGGCTGTTGGCGAGCTGTGGCTGAGCACAGTTGGAGTCACGCTGGGTTGGCTGGAGGCTGCTTACTTTGGGTTCTTGCTCCCTGGTCTCTGAAACAGGCGTGTCAGAAGTGCTAGATCGTTTGTGCATTAGAGGAAAGGAATTATGGCTCCCTGGTAAACCATTTTGGCTATCAGTATGGTTATCTGTCCTTTGAAACTCAGTCTTTGTGTGGAAACTTGGGTTAAGGGTAGGAGTTGCATCATCGTGTCCTCCTTTATTGTTTAAGAGTCCGTTTACAGCTGGCTGCTGTTGTAACCTCTGGTCTGTGAGTTTTTGTCTCTTAGCTGCTAGTCTTTCCTGTGAGTCAAAAGGCACAGGGCGTTTCTAGGGAAACAGACAGGGAAAGACAAGAAATACATCTCTGAAACATTTTCATACAAACTTCATGAATAAACTTTAATTCCAGCAGACAAAGGTAAAGACTAGAGGGCAAAGGGCACACATTTACACTGACGTAACAAAGGAACATCCGTTCAGAACCACATCAACCACTTTCACACATACTGAAAGGTAAATGGAGAACAATACAGCTATTTACCACTGCAGGATTTTTTGCTATGCTTTGATCCTCTGACGTCCTCAGTACTGATGGGTTTGGTTGAGGATTTCGCGACTGGTTGCCAATATGTGGCTGCAACTTCCTATCAAACAGAAAGAGAGAACAAAGCAATCAGACACAACCAAAGCACCTTTGGGAATTTCATAAACACCTAGTCTTGCTGGTTTACAGAAGCCCGAATAAGGCCAAGCTTAAAGGTGGAAAAGATTCTCTGTCTAGCAAGGACACACAAGGTCTGCCTCTGAGGGCTGACTAGCACCTATACAGAAACACGTGGGAGTGAAAGAAGATGTGCAGGAGACCTTACTTTTCTAATGCGGCGAATAACAAGTGCAAAATGAAGTTTCAGTGATTCAGTCATCATCTTGTTATTTATGAGCTAACACCAGTACCACCGGGGAATTAATAAATAAGATATATCAGGCATAAAAGTGAAAGGGCACGTTTACGTACAGCACGTTACACAAAAACAAGCTGTTTAATGAGAGCGCATAACTTGCATCCATATGGGACCCCCTGCCTCTAGCCCACCTGGCCAGCAGCCGGCTGACAAGCTGCTTCTCCTCCTCGTTGTAGCCTGGCCAGTCTCTCTGCACATGCCTGTAGAAGTCATCTCTCAGTGAGTAGCTGCTGTCTTTGGGGTTCAATTTGGCCACCTAAAGAAATATCACACAACACACAATGTTAATTCAAATTCCTATTAAAGTTAGAAAAAATGTTATTTATTAGTTACTCCATGCCAAATGGGGAATTTTAATGTGACATTCACCGTTTTTAGCTCTGTTTTTGGTCTCCACCAGCCCCAGAGGAAAGCATCTGCTTCAATAGCAGTTAAATATTGCCATATGTTCAACAGTTAGTCATCAAATTTGTTTGCCAGAAAGTGGTTAGAAAGTAGGGAATAAGAGGTTATTTTTTCCTGGATGACGCACACATTTCTACTTCTTAATTAAGACAGAATTTAAGTCATTGTATTTTGGCTAAAAATCTCAGTCATACAGGCTCTGGCTGTTACTGTTAGGAAGGTTGGAGCCCTTTCTGACCAGGCATATGCCTCATTTAATGTCCTCATGCAACAAATCTCTCAGACACACTTCTTTCATCTGATCAGTCATGTAAAAGTGAGGAACATCCTTTCTCAGGAAAAGTAGCCAACACCTTTATTTCTTTTAAGCCTTTTGCAGAGAATACAAAGCTGCTGCCTTCAATCCGTTATGGCGACAGGATTCTGCCATTCAAGCACACCCACTGCAGTGACAGAAAGCACCATGCAGATGATTGGAATAAAAGATGAGGGTGGTTTCTTGGTCACAAGAGTAGCCAAGTCATAAGTGCCTTAACCTTGGATTCATGATGATAGCTGTGGTTGCAAAAACACTCTCAGTCATACAGAATCTCAGTGCTGACCTCTAAATGCCTTCCTCGAGGATTTATGGGTTCAATCACTCATTTTGAATCATATTGGATGAAACATTAAGTCCATTTTACATATTTTAGTCATTCTAGCTGTCAAAAAAAAAAGGAAAAAAAAAGAGTATAATGTGGAAAACTGGTATTGACTTGTGATTGAGAAGCCATTAGCAATGAATGCCGACTTGATTACAACAAAAACATCAAAAAGGGTTAAAAATTATCTTTGTGGTAATTTTTAATCCTTAAAATATACCAAACCTCTTTTTTATTTTTAACATATCCTCACATATGTAATAGCAATCGATATCAACGTATCTTATATTCCGCCGACTAATTTGTCAGTAAGTTGGGCTTCTTGCAAACGTGTTTCGATTGGGATAATAAAATATGAAATGGTAGAAAAATAAATAAAAAGACTACTCAGAAACTTAAAAACACAAAAGCTGCCACTACCTGGATCCATTATGTGCTAAACCCGAAACATCCACATTCTTGAAAAGCAACAACACTTTCTCAGCGTTTCCGTTTCCATCCGAGCGTCCCAGATTTTTCCCCCTCACATTCTCTAAAGACATCTATCTTTCTGAAGCCTCCAGACAGAGGAGTCTGCCCAATAGCAAACAATCTCTGAAGACACAATTACAGCAGCGACCTAATTACTCTTACGCAGTGAGACAAGAACCACATGCGTGTACAGACATCAACTAGCAGAAGGCCTGCAAAACACACAAACAAACATCACTTAGGAATAACTCAAAAATATTTACAGGAAAGCAAAAGAAACTTCTTCAAATTAGATCCCGGCTTTGATTAAAGCACAAACGGTCCTGGTCTCTGTCAGCACACACAATACCACAGATCTGTGTTGTTCAGAGCTTTTAAGTGCCTTTCAGACACTCTGACAGTGTCAAAATGTATTGTTTTTTTTTTAAATGTTAAATATAGTAGGGAAACACATACTTGATTTTCACAATGTGATATTAGTTGAATGTCAGGCAATGGCCATATATAATGTGCAAAAACAGAGCCAACACAAGCACATTTGCTTGGCTGGAAATGTAAATCACTGTTGTCTTGGTATAATGTGCAAAACCATAGTGTGTTTTTTAAAGTTTTATATAATGACAATTAGGGGTGTTTAAGGATGTTCAGGGAGTATAATGTACAAAGTCTACATTTGAAAAACAATATATGCATGAGATGCTGCGTTAGGCACACGTGTGTGCCAAGCAGCAACCGGTGCAAACATGTTTACATGATGATTAAGGGAAAAAAATGTTTGTCTCTACACTCATTTTCCCCCTTTGGGACAATCTGTAGGAGTTATGCATTTTCAAGGTCATGATGGCTTCAAGTAAAAACCATACACTGTATATAAAAGATGGAAGTAACCACTGCATCATTGTTTACTGGTAATTGAAACCACCAGCTGTCCGGGGCGATCGTGG